AACGCAGCATGAGATGTGGATGAAGACGTTCGAGGACTGAGATCCGTCCGTGTTGAACGGTCAGTGACGGTGGGATCTGACGACAGCAGCGCTGCTGAAGGCCGATGAGGAGCAGCAGCTGTGTTGGATTGCGCTGCGGTTTCACAGCTCCAGCACATGTGTGTCGTCTGTTCCAGTAAAATCCCACAGCGTTCCTGAGCCAGCGCTGGAACTCACACACTCGCTCCCAGAGCAGGAGCTGAAGATCCAGAAGCCACGCAAAGCTCCACGCAGCTCCAGAGTCCTCCAAAACACACCGGCTTTACTGCAGGACAGTATTCCTGGAGCTCAGTGTGCACTCGCAACCGTAGGGTCATGGTTCGATTCCCAGGGAATGCATTGACATATGAAATGTATATATTTAATGCAATGTAGGTCACTTTGGATAAAAGAATCTGCCAAATGCATGAATGTAAATTATATTTACATATAGATATTTAAGGGAGTTTGTGGAGCTGTAACACTCAAAATATTGTACCACTAATTGTGGTGCAGTAACAAAAAAAAAATAATTAAAATAAATTAAACCTAATTAGTAATAAAACATTACAAATTTAACTAAACATGTAAATGAAAATATAATATTTTGAATTAGATTTTATTTTTATATTTTTAGTTTTCATTACAATTTTTGGTAATATTTTTGTAATTATTTTATTGTGTTAGAGCCATTTTTAAAATATTACTAATTAGGTTTAATTTATTTTAGTTTAGTTTTTATTTATTTTCAGCCAGTAATTTTAGTGCTTCATCTAATATTTAAATTGTATTTCAGCTTAGGTGTAACACTAAATTAAATTGTTAAATAATTTAATATTTATATATTGTTTTATTTCAGCCTAGTTGTAACACTAAATTAAATCGTCACATGATTTGCTTCATATGCCATTTTTTCCTCAAAATGAACTCAGCAATGTATTTGGCAGACACTTTTATCCAAAATGACTTTTTAGTATTTTAATATTATTTATAAACTATTATAGTTTTGATTAATATTCTGAAATAACTTTTTCTTGTGTGTTTTGTCTTTTTTTAATATTACTAATGAGGTTTAATTTATTTATATTTCAGCTTTAGTTTTAGTTTTTATTTATTTAGCGTGAGCAATTGTAATGCTTCAACTTAAACTTCGTTCAGTTCAAATAAATTAACATAAAACTGTAACACTAAATAAAATTGTCATATGGTTTGCATCACATGAAAACAGCAAAGAAGGACGATTTTTCTATATTTATGCATTTACATTTACATTACATTTATGCATTTGGCAGACGCTTTTATACGGTGTGGCTTAGATTCAGTATTATTTATATACTATTATAGTTTTTATTAGTATTTTGAATTAGCTTTTATTTTGATATTTTCTTTTCGCAATGTTGTTTGTGTTTTGGTCGTTTTTAATATTATCATTAAGGTTTAATTTATTATTTCAGTTTTATTTTTGCTTTTAATCTAATATTTACATTTCAGCTTTATTTCAATTAACAGTTGTCTTTAACAGTTTTAGTTTTAGTTTTAGTAAATGAAAAAAACCCCATGCATTCCTGCACAACGTCACAGAAATCACGTGCTTCACAGACGCCCCGCTCTCGATGAGCTCCTGCTGAATTTCAATGAGCTCAAGAACTAAATGTTCTGTTCTGGCTTCATACTTTAAACCGCATTATTAGTGAGACAAAATCATGTGTATATCACAAAAAAAAAATGCATTGCATATGTGGGTTGTTTTGACACTACAGTAACACTTTACTTAAAGCCTTCACATATAATGCATTCCAAAAGTATTTTAATGCATTAATGAAGCATGATAATAATACTCATCTATTCATTGTTACACCTTTAGAAGGTAAACTGCATTAAAACACAACAAACAAATATTATAATGCATCTTAAATTTGGTTACAATTAGTTATAATGCATTACAATGTGCATTATGAATACCTTATAATGCATTATAAATACAGGCTTTAAGTGATGTGTTCCTGGTATTCTGAGTTGAATCGGGCTTCGTCTCTGGGTCAAGGAGAAAGACGAGGAGGCTACAGGAACATCTGAGAGCCATCGACAGAGCAGCGTTAATGGTTTCCAGAATCGCTGATCGTCATCTTCTAACAGAGAGAAACAATTACGCTCCTGACACCAGCGACGGCTCTCTGATTGCCTTTGGATTTCAATAAAAGGCTTTACGGCTTTCTGCAAACCAGGGGGAAGCAGTAAATCAATACAGACGAAGCGTAAAGCCTGCTTCAGTCTGCGCTTCTCTGTTACTGTAGTATTACTCACATACTATTACAGCTTTAGTTTATATATGCAATTTTATTTTATTTTTAGATTTCCTGTTTTCACTTTAACTTGAATTACATTTTAGTACTTGTGTTGTGTGTTTTTGTCATTTATATTTTATAATTTTTTATATGGATTGATTTTTAATGTTCCTATATAGTTTTTATTCTTTTTTTTTGTTAGTTTTAGTTATTTTAGTACTTACAGTTTAGGTTTTGTTAATATTTTGAATTCGATTTTCTTTTCTTTTTTTTTATTTTAATTTTAGTTGTGTTTTTTTTTGTCATTTATATTTATAGTTTTAAATTTTTTTCTGATATATTTGTATTAATTTTTATTTATTCGTTTGAATTATTTTAGTAGTTCAAGTAAAAAAAAAAAAAATTTAAATGTTATTTTGGTTATCCATACAAAAAAGTTATTATTAATGTTTTGAATTACATTACATTTATGCAGTTGTTTTATGCTTTTATCCAAAGTGACTCTTTAGTATTTTAGTATCATTTATATACTATTATAATTTTTATTAATATTGAATAAGCAGTTATTTTACATTTTCAGTTTTCATTTCAATTTATTGTTGATGTTTTTTTTTTTTTACTAATTTGTTTTAGTTTTAGTTATTTCCAGTTAGTACACTCTAAAAAATAAAAAAAAAGCTGGGTTATATTTTAACCCAAATGCTGGGTTCAGCTTGTTGGGTCATTTTTAATGTTTTTTACCCAGGTGCTGGGTAGTTTTCTGTTACTAAGTTGGGTTTAATTTAATTTGATGTTAATATACGTTCTCTAATCTCAGTACTGTTTGTTTATGGGCAGGTTGTAGAGTTCCCCCGCGAACAGCAGCCCTTCACCGGCTCAGGTTTCAGTAAAAAAGCGATTAAGGAGAACGGTTGAATACACTTAAATTAAAATGCTACTTTTAAATGCTACATTTTTTTATTTCTAAAATGCTTGTTGAATGAGTTTAAATGTATGTAATATTGTAAACTTTGCTGTATTCACCCAAATAAATTCAATTTGTCTTGTATTTTTTTGCTTAATAATACACGTTCATCTTTTGATTATTGCTGTTGCCTCTAGTAATTCTGTGTGTGATTTTTAATTTCCAGCCCATTGTAAACCAGCAATATAATAATTTTTAAACAATAGTTGAGTTAAATAAAACAACCCAGCATGGTGGGTAAAAACATTTAACCCAGCCAGCTGGGTCAAAATAACCAAATAACCCAAGTTAGGTTTTAGTTTTAGTATGCATTTATATTACATTATTTTGAATGAGCTTTTATTATTATATTTTCAGGTTTCAATTAAATTTTAGTTAACTTTTTTAGTATTTTTTAATGTGTTTTTCTCATTTTTTTTGATGATACTTTATTATAATTATTTAGGTTTAATTAAATTACATTTTTGTCTTTATTTATTTCCAGCTAGTAATTTTAATGTTTCAACTTTAACTTATTTTGTTTTCATCTAGTATTTATACAGATTTCAATGAACAGTTGTCTTTAATAGTTTTAGCTCATGATAATAACTCTGTGCATATAAAAACTAGAGCCCGACCGATATATCGTTTTGCCGATATTATCGGCCGATATGAGCCTGTCGCCGATATATCGGTATTAAAGAAAAACAAAGTTCTTCTTTTGGAATGGCCAAATCAAATTCCAGACCTTAATAGAAAATTGTAAAGGGTTCACAATCTTTCAAGCAGCACTTGATGTTTTATGATGTGTGGCAGGAAGAGCAAATGACAGACACAGTGGGTGTGGTGTCAGGCCTCGGAGAGGCTTTTATTTACAAAATAATATAACAAAGTGCCCAGAAACGGGAATAAAGTGTCCAAAATAAACAGGGGATCTGGTGTCCTCGTCGTGCTGCAGGGTTAGTGAAGGTGGGGCAGTGTTCAGGAAGGAAGGGTCCAGGTAAGGGGCGGAGTCCGGTGGCCGCACACGCTCCCCTCTCCGGTCCGGGGCGCGAGGGGCGGGGGCTTCTATCAGCGGCTTCGTCCTTCTCTCTGCCCATGGCGCTTGAAGGGACTAGACGGCCCAGCATCCTTGCCCCTATAATATACACAAAGAATATCGGCCGATATATCGGTATATCTGATATATATCGGGGTTTTTTTACCCCCTAATATCGGTATCGGCCCCAAAAAACCCATATCGGTCGGGCTCTAATAAAAACCCTTTACATAAAACCTAAATGAGAAAAAAAGTTTTGTAGCCTTAAACATCAAGTGCTTATAACTTAAACTCTTAACCCAACCATGACTTTTCTCTCTTTCTGACGATGTACAGATCTGTATGACTCAATGGGGTCCAAAGCATATCCGATATATATCGGGGGTTTTTTTACCCCCTAATATCGGTATCGGTATCGGCCCCAAAAAACCCATATCGGTCGGTCTCTAATAAAAACCCTTTACATAAATCCTAAATGAGAAAAAAAGTTTTGTAGCCTTAAACATCAAGTGCTTATAACTTAAAAAACTCTTAACCCAACCATGACTTTTCTCTCTTTCTGACGATGTACAGATCTGTATGACTCAATGGGGTCCAAAGCAACAACATTAGACTTTCACTGTGTGGATAAATGAAGCCACACATGTTTGAAGGACATGAGGGTGAGTAGATGATGGCAGGGTGATGGTTTATGTGTGGCTGGTGGGGTTTGTACCTTTATAGGGGTTCTTGGGGATCTGGCAGGTGTGTCCGCATCCGTTCGGACAGCACTTCTTCAGCGCCGTGCACTCGGCATCTGTTTCGCAGCTCTCCACGCATGCGGCGGCGAATCCGCTCGCTCGCTCCGGCGCAGGACAGTCCCCCGGCTTCAGCGTCTGAACGGAGCTCAGGAACTCGCAGCTCGTCAAACACTCGTAATGCTTCTTCGGGAACTGAGTCTGAAAGCAGGAGCGAACGCGAGACGCTGACCTCAGCTCTGACAGGTTTAATGTGCTGTTTGCGTCTCAAGAGTTTCCGTACCTCACACAAGTCCTGACACTGGTTCTCCTTCAGGTCCCATGATGCCCTGCATGGCTCCAGACACTGAACGAGAAAAGACAAAAGAATAGAGAAGGGCGTCAGCTCATCGAAAATCACAGAAATGAAAGCATGAGCTCGACAAACGCTCCTCTAAAGCGTGAGGGAGGTCCTCTGAAACTTCAGGGTGTTCTTGGAACTACAGGGGTTTGTAACAATTCATTAAATAATAAAAAGGGGGGAAAATAATAAAAACTAATTCAAATAAACCACTTACTAATGAATTAAATCTTAAAAAATGTAAAATTAAACAATAAATAAAAGGTCTTCAGGGTTTTCCAAACTTGGAACTACAGGGGATTTATTTAAATAATAATAAAAAACAATCATAATAAAACATTTAAATAAACCACTTAGTAATGATGAATTAAATCATAAAAATGTACAATTAAACAAATAATTCGAAAATAAAAGCAATCAAAATAAAACACTCAGTAATAATCTATATTATAAAAACATAAAATAAATCATTTTAAAATAAAACAATAAAAAACACTTACTATCAATTAAATGATAAAACATTAACATTAAACAACTAATTTTAAAACAATAAAAAAACACTTGCTATGATTTAATTAAATCATAAAAATATACAGTTAAACAAATAATCTTAAAATAAAAGCAATCAAAATAAAACGCTTACTAATAAGTAATTAAATCGTAAAATGTAAAATAAAATAAGTAACTTAAAAAAATATAAAAACACTTACTATTAATTAAATGATAAAATGTAAAATTAAAATAAGCAATTCATTAAATAATAATTAATTAAACAATAAAAAAATTTAATTAAACTAATATTTTTAAAATGAAAATAACAAAATAAAACCCTTACTGATTAATTACATTATAAAAATGTAAAATCAAACAAATCATTTTAAAATAAAAGCAATCAAAATAAAGCACTTACTAATAATTAATTAAATCGTAAAATAAAAAAAAATATAATTTTAAAATAAAACAATAAAAACACTTACGATTAATTAATTAAATGATCAAATGTAAAATTAAAATAAATAATTAATTAAATAATAATTAATTAACTAATAAAAATGAAACTAATATTTTTAAAATAATAAAAATTTAATACTTACTGATTAATTAAATTATAAAAACGTAAAATCAAACAAAACATTTTAAAATAAAAGCAATCAAAAAAGCCACTTACTAAAGTAATTACCCACATCAGAGAACTGTAAACATGTGAAGGTGTTGTTAAATTACGGAGTAAACATTGAGCAAATATAGCAAAAGTACATATTGCAGGTCAAAGGGCTTCCGCTGACAAAAAAACAAAGTAAAATTGACGGATGTAGCTTGAACGTCTGAGGATCTTTCTCCACATGATTCAGTCTCATTATCAGCAGGTTATTAAACACGAAATGCACCCAGACAGCTTCATTATCTTCTCTTTAGAAATATAATGCATGATCATACAGGCTATTGTAATGCAGCTTTTTATGATGTTTGACAGCAGAAATAACTCTCATTTGTGTCTAAACCACAGAAGTGTGAGTGAATGATACTGAAACCCAGTATATTCATCAGTACAGAGCAGAGACTGTGTCAGAATCACATATGCGTCCATCAGTGAACCGCTGATCTCGACCCAAACCACACGAGCAGAGCCAAACCAAAGACACCGAGAGCACTTGAGCTCCAATCCACTCATGCATCAGTCACACAAACACCTCTCACGCAGAAGAAGTGAGGAAAAACTGATGAAATTAATTCATTGCACTGAAAAAAAAATGATTTTTTTTTTTAAGGTAAGTGGTTGCAATCAGTTTATTTTAGCCACATTTAAATAAACAAATTTTGCTGAAAGTTAGTCAACTAAATTTGTTTATTTAAATGCAGCTAAAATAAACTGATTGCAACCACTTAACTTAAAAAAATTAATATCATTTTTTTCAGTGTACTTAATTAAATCATAAACATTTAAAAATTAAACAAATAACTAAATCATACAAATTTATCAAATAAAATCAATAATAAAATAAATAAATAATAATAAGATGCATAATTTTAAAATAAAACAAAAAAACACTTACTATTAATTAAATGGTTCAAAATGTAAAATTTAAATAATGTTAAAATAAAAACAAATTAAAATAAACACACACACACTCACACACACACTCGCACACACGCTCATGCACACACACAAATTAATTAATACAGTTTAAATTAAAATAATTTTTTTTTTAATAAAAGTAATCAAAATAAAAGACTAACTAATAATTAATTAAATAAAAACAATGTAAAATAAAATAATTTTCAAATAAAAAAATAACACTTAGTAAGTAAAATATATTTATATAGCACCTTTCACAGATGAGAAAATAAAAACAAAACTTAAGTACCAGCTCTACAAATACCGCAAATCACTTACTATAAATTAAATTATAAAAATGTCAAATTAAATCATTTTACAATACAACAATTAAATAAAATAAAAAATTAATATTAATGAAATCATAAAATTGTACAAATTAAACAAATGATTTGAAAATAAAAGCAATCAAAATAAAACACTTACTAAAAATGTATAAAATTATTAAAAAGTAATAATAAAATATTAGTTAAATAGTAAATAGTCAAATAAAAGCAATAATTTTAAAATAAAACAATAAAAACACTTAGTATTACTTAAACAGTAACAAATAAGTTTAAAATAAAAGCAATCAAAATAAAACACTTGCTATTATTATAATAATAATACTTCATAGCTGTGTGTTTCCTGGCAGATAACAGTTGGGTTCCAGAAGTAGAAACTCAGTTCACATTAATTCAACTTACTTTTAAAATAATCACATTTACTAGCTGAATCCGAGGAGAAAAACTACATTACCCATGATGCTGTACAGAAAATTCCACCAATCAGAGAGATGTGGCATTCTTTAGCTCCGCCCACTATCAGTGTGTTATATATGTGAGATAAATCCTGTTCCACTAATCTCCATGTTAAACTTCAAGAAGTCTTTTATTGGCTGATTTTCTGTTTGCGGTTCCTTGTGTGAATTAGAGTAGAGTGTTGATGTAAATCACTAGGTTTTAACGCTCTTACTCAAGTCAAGAAGTGTAATGACTAAATGAAGCCTGCGTTTCTTCATTTCATACTGGCAGAAACATGAATATAATGTGATTATTGCACTGGGCTCCACTGGGCAGGCGTTGTGTGAGGAATGAAGCGGTGTGTGTAAAAAAAAAAGTGTCTGAGCAAAACACAGAGAGACTGAAGCTGCTCACACCGAACAACAAGATCACACAAAAGAAACATGGGAAAAAAAAGGGCGAAAGATGAAGAAACACAAACTACAGAGAAAAGCGGCAGGAAAATGTTGCTGTTAATGGAACGCGAGACTCACACTACAGCAGAAAGACGAGACGAGACGAGACGAGACGAGAGGAGAGGGGAGGAGACGAGGAGACGAGAGGAGAGGAGACGAGAGGAGACGAGAGGAGAGGAGAGGAGAGGAGAGACACACACATCTATCATGAGTCTGAAGCTCTGATCTGAGTCGTCAGTAAAGCTGAGCGCGTGAATGTGTAATGTTTACATCAAACTGAACTCCAGCAGATCTGCTCTTTACTGTCAGAGAAACACAAGAGCGCTGGATAATGTTCAGCAGTCCTTCTGTGTGACGCCCAGAACCCCAAGAGAAGACTCTGATGCTCATTACAGCTGCATTTATTTGACCAAAAATATAGGGGAAAATGTGAAATATTATTACAGTTTAAAATAGCTGTTTTCTAAGTGAATATCTGTTAAACTGTAATTTATTTCTGTGATGCGCAGCTGTATTTTCAGCATCATTACTCCAGTCTTCAGTGTCACATGATCTTCAGAAATGTTGAAAACAGTCGTGCTGCACAATATTTTTGTGGAAACTGTGATGCATTTTATTTTTCAGGATTCACAGATTAACAGAAAGTTCAAAAGAACAGCATTTATGTGAAATAGAAATCTTTTGGAACATTATAAATGTCACTTCTGTCACTTTTCATCAATCTAATGCATCCTTGTTGAATAAGTGTTTTAATTTCTTTCAAAAATGTATTTTAATTGTATACCTCTATAATATTTATTCAATTAAAACTAGTGCTGTCAAATGATTAATCGCGATTAATCGCATCCAAAACAAAAGTTTTTGTTTACATAATATATGAGTGTGTTCTGTGTATATTTATTATGTATATATAAATACAAACACATGCATGTTTATATTTTGAAAATATTTACATGTATATACATATATATTTATATTCTTATATTCTATATTCTATATAAATATATTTAATATATAAACATTACATTTATACTGTATGTGTGTGTATTTATATACATAATAAATAAATATACACAGTACACACACATATATTATGTAAACAAAAACTTTTATTTTTTATGCGATTAATCGTTTGACAGCACTAATTCAAATGTAAAAAAATATTTCAATATTTATATGTATTCAAATATTTAAATATTCAAATAAATGCTGTTATTTTGAACTTTATATCCATCATAGAATCACAAAAATGCATTAGATTCCACAAAAACAATTATTTATAAATATATATAGTATTTACCAATGAAAATTTTTTTTCTATCTATCTATCACTATATATATATATATATCTATATATAGATATATATACACATTTAAGAAAATAAAATAAATTAAATAAAAATTACAAATGCATACAACATTTCAAAACTAAACATTTAAATGAAAACAAAAAAATAAAGCTAAAAACAATTCAAAA